ACACACACACACACACACACACACACACACACACATACATATATCCTTTAATTTCAAAACTTCCAGCAATCATACTTTTACTTGTCTCTCATCCCACCCAATTTTTTTCTTCTTATTTTCAAGGTGCTGGAGACTGAACCCTGGGCCTTGCACATGCTAGACAAGCACTATACCAGTAGTTGCTACAGTTGAACTTCTATCACTGTTGCTTCTCACTTTTTAATCTTCTTTTCCAAGCATCTGTATCTATTTTTGTGTGTGTGTGATGCTGAGTTCCTCAGGGCCTTGTTCATGTGAGGCCAGCACTCTACCAACTGAGCTATATCCCCAGCCCACATCTGTATCTTTTTTTATACCTTTATTTTATTTATTTATTTTTATGTGGTGCTGAGGATCAAACCCAGGGTCTCACATGTGTGAGGTAAGCACTCTACCGCTGAGTCACAACCCCAGACCGACTGTATCTTTTAAGATTGTTTTTATCTTGTTTTAAGTTGAAGAAATGGGAAAGGGTGGAAAGGGGTAGTTATTAGAAAAAAGGAGTAGAGGGTGATGGAATGTGTTAAAAATGTATTTGACAAGTATTTTTAACTAAGTATTTATGTCTTTCATCCATACTGAGACTTTTAAAAGAAATTTTATTGATACATTATCATTTTACATAATAGTGGTATTTTTTATGTCATATTGATACATGCACATAACTTGATCAATCTCATTCCCCAGTACCTTTTCTTTTTCCGTCCCTCCTCCTTCTTCTCTCCTCAATCAGCTTCTTCTACTCTACTGGTCTCCCTTCTATTATAATTGTTATTATTTTGATTAATGCCATATAATTATATAGACAAGCAGGATTCATTTTTTGTGGTGTATTGAGGCTTTTGCAAAGTGGATTTTACAAATTATAAATGATTTATTTACATTCTGCTATATTCGAGCCCCCCCCCCTGCAGTGCACAGGTTTAATGTGAAAACTCAAATACTAGAGAGGTACACAGAGAGCATAATGATTGGATTAAAGCCAATCACTATCATTCCTTAGCAATTGCTAAGATTCCTGTATCTCAGAAGAAAAACTCCTAGGGTTAAACTATCATCAAACTCAATGGTCTAGTATATTCCCAGTGAGAACTCATTCTCTCTAGGTTCATTGATCAATCCCAGGGTTTCAACAGAGATAGCTAGGACCACTAGCACGCTTTCTTCTCAATATCCAGACTCATCTGTGTGCAACTTTTTCCCCCACTTACTTCATTTAAGAAGTTCATGGAATTTTTTTTTGCCATGAAAAATTATCTAAGAATGGAATGTAAAACCGTAAAAATGGACTAGCTATAATATTCATATTTCTTACCTTGAGTCATCAGTCTGTCTATAGTTGGATATGCATTCATAGATCCAGGACTCATGAGTTTTCCTTGTCCTCAGTCACTTGAAGACTGGCTTCTGGGAAAGAAAGCTGAGCTAAAGTTGAGCTCCAGAAGTCTCAGGATGGCTTTAAAACCTTGTCTTACTGATAGGTCTCTTCCCTCTTGTATACTGATTTCTTTTTACCTCTGAATTTTTTCCATATCTTTGCATACAAGTTTGAAAGCCCATCAATTGTGCAGTTTCCTTGGATCCTGCAGGTTTAGGTCCCTAGAAAAGAAATTCTCTTTTCTGACCAACCCCTAATTTTATGTTCCTAGGAGTCAGCCATTCCAAATGATTTCTCTTCAGATGCTTGCCCATGGAGGTCCCATTCTGAAACCAACTTTTGAATCCGTTCCTGAGATACTGTCCATGGGAAAAGAAAAATTTCATACCATTGCCTTTTACATGTTGCTTCCAAATTCCAAGACAGACATTTACTTGTTTGTTTTCTCTCCCTTAGGATTTGTGCGTCTGTTTGGAGGACATGGACCTTGCTCTGGGCGAGTGGAAGTGAATTCTGGAGGAGGATGGACTCTACTATCTGATGGGAATTTCACATTATCCACAGCCCAGGTCATCTGTGCAGAGCTGGGGTGTGGCAAGGCTGCATCTGTCCTGGGGAACCTGCCCTTCAGAGAGGACAGTGAACAGGTCTGGGCTGAAGAGTTCCACTGTGAGGGGCAGGAGCCTGATCTCTGGTTCTGCCCCAGAGTACCCTGTCCTGGAGGCAACTGCCCTCACAGAGGGGCTGTACATATTATCTGCTCAGGTGAGACCCACAGCAGGACTTTAACTTCTCTGCACATTCTGTTCAGGTAAAAAAAAATGTCTGAGGTTTGCTGAAATCCTGTCTTCTCCTGTCAGAATACACAGAAGTCAGGCTCATGAAAAATGGCAGCTCTCAGTGTGAGGGTCAAGTGGAAATGAAGACCTCTGGAGGCTGGAGAACACTCTGTGCCTCCCACTGGAATATGGCCAATGCCAATGTAGTTTGCTGTCAGCTGGGCTGTGGAGTTGCCATCTCCACCCCAAAGGGAGCATACTTTGTGGAAGGAGGAGATGAGATCTGGAGAGACCGATTTCACTGCTTAGGGTCTGAGTCCTTCCTGTGGAACTGCCCTGTGACTTCCCTGGGTGTTCCTGCCTGTGCCCATGGAAACACAGCCTCTGTGGTCTGCTCAGGTAAGAGAAATTAGGGTTGAATGGTACTCAGTTTGCTCATTGAGTGACATGTTTCTAAGAGCAGAGAGCATGGAGAACAGACATCAAAAGTGAGACATTCTGTGGTGAAATGTGGTTCTTCTACTGATCGTATGTATTTCAGTTCAAGTCAAGGAGTGTAAAGAGTGATGATATCTTTTAAAAAATTATTACTTAAGTACAATTCATAGAGAAAAGTATAGAATCAATAATTGTATGACTTGATGAATCAAAATAGAATGTACTCAGTCATGTGACTCCAATCTCAATTAACAAAGAACATTAACCAGCTCCAGAAGCTACCTTCACACCCACCAATTACTAAACCCCCTGGTAGGAAACCACTCTCCTGATTTGCATTGCCATATAATATTTTAAATGTTTTGTAAAATCATGCAATTTTTTTTTCATGTCTAACTTCTTTGAACCATTATTATGTTTGTGATTCGTCTATAGTTGTGTTGATGGAAGTGCTTCTTCATTCACTTTGTTGATAGAAGTGCTTCTTCATTCACTATTATGCTGTGTAGTGTTCCACTGAATGACCACATGGCTGCATGTTGATCCATTCAACTAATGATGGAAATTTAAGTTTTTTTTTTCCAATTCTTGACCATTAAAAATAGTGATGTTACAAATAGTCATGACTCAATGACTCTTGGTGCAAGTATATATGTATTTATTGTACATATTTGACACTTGGCCTTTTGTTTTCACTTTGTTAATGGTGTTTGTGGGTGAGCCAAATTATTTTAACATCTCATCAACTCTTTCTTGTAACCATAGAACTTCTTATGGCCTTTAAAAGAAAATTGTCTGTCCCAAGATTCTGAGTAATTTCTTGTACAGTTATTTTTATTTCTCATATAATTATATAATCTTTCTAAAACTGTTTTTTTTTTTGATATCAGGAGTTGAAACCAAGGGAACTTAACCACTGAATCACATCCCCAGTCTGTTTTTCTGTATTTTTCAAATTTAGAGACAGGGTCTCACTGAGTTGCTTAGATCCTTGTTAAGTTGCTGAGGCTGGCTTTGAATTCATGATCCTCCTGCCTCAGCCTCCAAACTGCTGGGATTACAGGCGTTTGCCACCATGCCTGGCTAAAGTTGAATTTTTAGCAAGATGGAAATACAATTTCATAGACTCAGGACTCTTTCCTGAAAAGACTGGTTCTGCATTGCATTGCCACCTCTGTCACATACAGAGTACAGACATGCCTGAGTATTTCCAGATGCCATTCTGTATCATTGTTTCAGTGTTTATCTTGCACCAAGACCACACTACCATAATCATTATGACCTTTGATATCAGGAGTTGAAACCAGGGGCACTTAACCACTGAGCCAAATCCCCAGCCCTTTTTTCTGTATTTTTCAAATTTAGAGACAGGGTCTTACTGAGTTGCTTAGGTCCTTGTTAAGTTGCTGAGGCTGACTTTGAATTCATGATCCTACAAATACAAATCTTGACATAGTAAATTTGAATTAAAATAACAGCTCCAACTTTGCTGGTTTTCTTCCCATTCTTGGTCTTTTCCAAATAGAGTACATTTTGAATTAAGTTTGTCATTTTCCATCAAAAAAAGCATAACGATAGTTTGAGGTTTGATTTTTAATCTAAAGGTAAATTTGAGAGTAATTTGCTTTGACAATATGGAGTTTTTCAATTCATCTATGTGTTGTTTGTGTCCATTTATTTACATCCTTAATTTTTTGGAGATTTTTTACATCATTGATTAGATTTTCTCCCGGGTCTTCTGTCTTTTTTTTGTTTGTTTGTTTTTGTGAGTACTCCAGCTTTTCAGTTTTGTCTTATAACTGTCTATTGCTATTAATTGAGGTAATTTTTGCTTTTATTTTGAATATTGAACTTGTGAGTGCTGTTATAATTGAGCCATAATTTCTAATCATATAATTGTAGATTTTGGATTTTTTGTATTTGTAAATTTTCTGCAATCATGTAGTTGGCAAATTATAGATTCATTCTTTTTAATTTTTATAATATTTTTCCCATTATTTGAAGTAGTTTTGAGGTCTAGTAGTCTACTAAGTAAAAATAGAAATAATAGATATTAATGTCATCTTTCTCATTTGAATATGCCACTCTAACAGGTGATAATTATTCCAGGGTTTTATTTTTTTCTGATAATTGTTTCTCTTCATTTTCTTTCTCATTTAATCATGCTCAAATAGGATTAATTTTATGTCTTTTTAGAAAAATTTGGCTTAATTAATTTTTCCTGTATATTTTCCCTATAATTCATTGATTTCTATCTATAATTTTCTTTATTATTCATTACTTCTTTGGGTTGAGCTTGATATTCTTTTGCCTTCCATATATCTAAAATATTTGCATTTTTAATTTTCAGATCTTATTTCTTTATTATACCCATTAATTTGACTCCAATCACAGTTGGTTATATATAAGTTTTAAGTTGATATATGTTATCATCAAGATAAGAATTTATTGTAATTTCTGATGTTTTATTCATAATTTAAGTTCCAAATCATTAAAATATTTATAGCATTTTGTTATTAATATCTAGCTGAATTGCATTGTGAGGAGAGAAACTACTCACCATGCTTTCAACCTTTGAAATTTATTTGTGTTCTAATATTATTTTTTACTTTTGTGGTGATGGGGACTGAAACTGGGCCTTGTGCATGTTGACAAGTATTCTACCACTGAGCTACATAACCAGTCCTTGGTGTTTTCTCATAAATGCTCCATCTGAACTTGAAAATGTATTGTTTATACTTTTTATTTCAGAGTTTTATATGTATAAATTCATCAAAGTTGTTAATCATTATTCAAAAACTTCCAGCTATCTACTCATTTTGGTCTATTTTTTTCCATCAGTTATTGACACAAGTATGTAAAATTTCTTAATTTAATTGCCTGTTTCTTTTTCATGTTTTTTTTTCAGTTTTATTTGCTCCATATATTTTGAGGCTTGTTTTTAGTTACATACAAATTTAAAATAGGTTTTTAAGTTTTAGTTCTATGATATCCCTTTATAATTTTGAAATATTCTTCTTTATTTCTAGCAACTCTTCTTTCCATAAAGTCAAATTTGTATGACAATAATATAATCATACCAAATTTCTTCACATGGTATTTTTTCCCCCATTATTTGTGTTTGACCTGTGTGCTAGTATTTACTGTGTGGGTCTCTTGAAATTAATACAATGTTGAGTTTTGCTCACTTCTAAAATACTTTGAACAATCTTTGATTATAATGGGTATATGCAGTTCATCTACTGTTAATGTATTATTGATACATTTGGAGAAAATATGGTATATTCATTTTTTGTCATATTTTTTTTGTTAATTTTTGCTTCCTTAGTAATATTTTCTTTTTGGTCAAACCCGAATATATTTTATTATTGCATTTTCTTCTCCATTATGAACAGAGAAGATGCAAGAAATTATATCAAATTTATTTGTATCAGCTAAGAGTTGTTTTGTGGACTAAAATATGGTCTATCTTGGAGAAGGTTTCATGAGTTACTAAGAAGAAAGTGTGTTCAGATATTTTTCGATGAAATATTCTATATATCTCTTAAGTCTATTTGATTTATACTATTTTTTAGGTATGAAGAGTTTTTACTCTGTTTATATCTGAATGACCTATCTATTGGTGAGAGAGGGATGTTGAAATCACTCAGTATTATCATACTGGCATTTATCTGAATCTTTATTTTGAGTAGTGCCTATTTTATGTAATTAGCTGCAGCAATGTTTGGAGCATAAATATTTTTTTTGTTACATTTTTCACTTTACAAGTATAAAGTGACCTCTTTTGTCTTTTCTGATAATTTTGGCTTGATGCCTGCTTTGTTGGTATGAGAGTAGCTACTCCTGATTGTTTTTAGGCTTCATTTGAGTGGCATATCAATTTTCATTCCCTTTCAGCCTACAGCTGTCTTTGCTTGTGAGGTGAGTCTTGCAAACAGCTTATAGTTGGATCTTGTTTTTTAAATCCATTCTACCAGCCCATGTCTTTTGAGAGTTGAGACCATTAATACCAGTATAAGGTAGGACACAATGAGAAGTACTATTGATTGGAGTTTTGCCCAGACAGATCTGATAGAAACACTCCCAGGGTGGGGTTGCTACAGATTTCTAGGAGGGGAGTTCCAGCAGCTGGATCAGGCCTTAGGGATTTTTCTGGGTGGTATCTGTTCTGGAGAAATTAGATCAACATGTCCCTAGGGCCAGGCCAATGCTGGTCTGTCCTAGGAGTCTGGATCTAAGAAGAATTTTATTCATGGGGCAGGGGAGTCAACTCTCTACAGGTCTCACACACTCTGATGCCCAGGAATATGCAGCCTTTCTCTAATCTGCCATCTTGAAACCATGGCTCATGTTTTCAGAGGCTTCTGCCATGGTTGGCTGTGAACGTCTAGTGCGTTCGGGTCCCTGGGTAAGGGTCTCGAAATCACCGGGACACAGGGGATGCAGAGCCAAGGCAGCAATTGCAACTGCAT